AATTTTTTGTATTTTTAGTAGAGACGGGGTTTCACCATGTTGACCAGGATGGTCTCGATCTCTTGACCTCGTGATCCACCCGCCTCGGCCTCCCAAAGTGCTGGGATTACAGGCTTGCGCCACCGCGCCCGGCCCATTTTACTTCTTTTAGTGACTCTTGTATCTTAAGACCCGAAACTGATTCAGAGACTGTGGAGCCCAGAAACACAATCAGAGTAACATGTGTGCACCGAATAGACATGGAGACATGAGAATCTCCACTTCTCTTTCCCTCCTCTCGCGAAAATGTTCACAATTGCAGGTAACACTTGCTCTAAGTCAGCCCATCTGGTACCTAAATCTGCAGCTCTGAATTCTAAATGTAGGTCTTGAAATTTGAAAAAAAAAAAAAAAAAAGGAAAAGAAAAAAACTTTTATTTGAGGAATGCAAGTCTTTTTACTTATAAAACTCAGAGAGACATTAAAATAAGAGTGCAATTATGTCCTTCTCCTTCCTTTAAACTCTGTATTCATCTCTTGAAACGGTTCACTATTGCCACAAGTAGGTGTAAGTTAAGCTAATAATGTCACACTAGACACTTAACTTTATACCCTTAGCTTTAACCAAGGTAAATTTTATACCTGTACTTAACTACATTGTTAAGTACAGTCCATCAATAATTGAAGCTATTTATTTAAATAAGAATTTCTCACAAACATGTTTGTATCAGCCCACTCTCTCTCTCTCTCTTTTTTTTTTTTTTTGCCTTCCCACTTGTAACTGCTGCTAATCAAAGTGTAGATTCCAGGTATTTTGAATAGAATATTTCTTCTCAAGTTACAGTAATTAAGGTTGGCCCAAATAAACTGCCTACTTTTCTTCGTATTGTGTCAGCTTTTTTTAAGGTAAAATATTATTTAGAATTTTCTAGAGCAGCCTCTGTGAGTATATCTCTCCTTTGATTATACTCTACTTGCTGTAACAGCCAAAACTGCAGAATGATGTTGATTTTATCTAGAATCTGCAAATAAGGTCTGGCTTCTGCCTGGAATTTACAAAACAGGGCCAGACTTTAGATTGAGAATGTACAGAAAACCAGCAGGAGACATTTTCTGCATTGTGAGTCAACATAGACATTTGAGATTTCTCCTTGAGAGTGAGGCTTTGACCTTTTCACATCTTGTTTATTCACCTGCTGCAGTTATGTGAGAGGCTCCAGGTTTAAATAGAATCTGATGGCAGAACTCTAAGTGTAAGCAAGCATCTTAGAAGGGAGAGATCAAGACCACAAAATACTCAGACTCCTGAGCACAACTACACTTACCTGTAAAACGTGATACTAGAGTAGAACATTCCTGTCCTTCTATGCAACTAAAAGCTACCTAATCACGACAGATGACCCAGGTTCTGGAGCTCCAACGTAGTAGTTTTATTTTCTATTTAAAATCAGCCTGAGTCTCTCCTGTTGGCTTACTATTGCACCATCAGTCCAGGGTCTCTGAAAATGCTCTCACAATCACCTAGTTATCTTTGAGACCTTTGAGAATCTCCAGAACAGAATTGTGTCCGGCTGACAAGAGTGGTTCATTTTGCTTCTTAGTGTAAAATAAATGAATGAGTCATCTTGTGTTTGTTCCTCCCCTCATACAAGAGATGTCTTTGGTTGGTACCCAGATGAGAGTTTTTCCAGTTCCCTGGTATTTGGGTGGAAAACAAGGGAGGAGGTCTGGAGACTCAAACAGATAAACTAACTGATTTCATTTCATATAGTCATTAGAAAAATAAATGAAGCAGTCATTGTCCCTACCATACAAGAACTTTTGTTTAGACTAGCAACTGGATAAATGGTTTAATTATGCATCATATGGTGGGTGCAGTAAATACATGTGTGCAAAAATATGGGCTTTATTTGGGCCATTTTCTTTATATTGCTGTGCCTTCTGATGACTACACCTTAACATATATTAATAAACAAAGACATTATTATTTGTATTTTTTTTACCTTTCTAAGAATACTTATTTATCTTCTAAAAAATTAATCTAGAAAACCTTAAGGGATTTGTTTAAATTGCTTATTAGTATGTAATATAAAATTGAGAGGGCAGTGGCTTAAAAAAATATTAAAATTACACAAATCTGAGATTTAAGGTTTTTTTTTTCTTTGTTTCTTTTGGTAAGCTTAAAAAAGAGAAACAGAACTAAAAATACTCCCCAGTGGCATCAAGTACAGAATTTTACATCAGCTCTATACCCTGCCCCAATCCTGTTCAGATTCAACCTTTTGGAAGGCCTTATTTAGGTCTGGCCCTAACCTGGAGTCTTGCCTTGCAGAACTAACTAGAATAGATCAGTGTTTTGGGTGAAAAATCCTGTTACCATTTTGGAGTTGGGACTCACAATTTTCTGAAACCCAAAGCAGAAAAATGGAAAATATGAAATATGTATTGTAGGGTCTTAATTTTTAAATTTTTTATTAAAACCAGTGTTTGCAGAGACATTTCATTTAGCAACTTGTTTTCTGTTCCTGCAGATACAGTAGTTGATTCACAAGTCACAAAATAGTGTATATAAACACAATGAAAATTCATCTAAATTATATTAAACTATTTCTTTTTTTTTTTTTTGAGACGGAGTTTCGCTCTTGTTACCCAGGCTGGAGTGCAATGGCGCGATCTCGGCTCACCGCAACCTCCACCTCCTGGGTTCAGGCAATTCTCCTGCCTCAGCCTCCTGAGTAGCTGGGACTACAGGCATGCGCCACCACGCCCAGCTAATTTTTGTATTTTTAGTAGAGACGGGGTTTCACCATGTTGACCAGGATGGTCTCGACCTCTTGACCTCGTGATCCACCTGCGTCAGCCTCCCAAAGTGCTGGGATTACAGGCTTGAGCCACCGCGCCCGGCCCATATTAAACTATTTCTATCTGTATCCCTCCCACCTGTGTAAGGCAGATTTTATTCTATGCATTTTTAAAAAAAATCCATGACAGCTGAACAGAAAAAATAAAAATGCTGTGTCCTCATTCTAAATCCTTGGAATTATTGAACACTTAGTATCAACTCACAGGGTGTCATTAGAATTAAATCAAATAATGGGTTATCAGAGTGCTCTGTAGCATCCGATTGAGCACATAGTATCTGCTTAATAAACATTGCATTAGTACATGTGCACATGTTGTTTGCCAAATGCAGACTTACTCAGAAATTGCTGCTTTCTGTTTTCTTTGTAAACTTTAAAGAGCCATCAAATAGTATAATAGTTTAAGATAGAGAATGATTGTCTTAATTTGTATCAGAAGTATTTGTGTTGTGACAAGAGTGCTGAATTTAAGGACTCTGCTGTGCCTCATTTTTCTAACTGATGCTAATAATGCTCCGGAGAGGGTCTCTGAAAAATATTTCTTCACTATATACCAGAGCCTTCTCTACATCATGGCTTCTTATATGCCATGCAGAATTCTCACCATGAACTTTTGATCTGCAGTATTAAAAATGTTTGCTTTGTGGCTGTTGAACATGGAAAGGTGTGGATACTCAATATTTCTGTGGAGAAAACCTGGGGTTCTTAGTGAAGATGGAGAACATGTAATGTTGAGGTTCTATCTTCGTTCTTTATTATCTCTATGTATTATATGGTTACAAAACTGCTAATTTAAACAAGATGGCATGTATTACGCAGAAAGTTCTGAAAAAATTATCAGGAAATACCTGCTTATTAGGCTGTTAAAGAAAGACTACTTGAAATCACTATTCAAAATTGTAGAACATGGAAGATAACTGTATCTTGAACTTTCCATAAAACTGATATTTTCTTATGGTTAAATTCAGACTGCAATTTACTTCAGTGTGGGCAACACCTCAGTGGTGTTGCTGTGACCTTCTGTGTGTATCAGCACACTATAAAAACTTGTCCTAGTGCAGTTGATGTTAATAACTCACTTGCTTAATAAGCTCTCTTACAGATTTTTTCACTATAGAGTTAGTTTTCTCTTCATCATTAAGTTTCTTTATGCAGCTGATGTGCATAAGCCATCACATATTCTGGCAGCTGTTTTTTTGTGGTTTTTTGTTTGTTTAGTTTTTCTTTACATTTATCTTTCTTTGGTAAATGAAAGCTCTCGTCTTTGTTTACAGGCCAGAAAAACTGAAAAAAATCACAGGCTTTTCCACTTACTGGATGTTTGACAAAGTATTCTTTTGGGGCCAAAACATTGGCATTACTGGTGAGCTTGTTCGAAATTCAGTAACTCAGACTCTATTTCAGATCTCCTGAAAAAATAATCTGCGTTAACAAGATGTCCAGTTTATTATACACATAAAATTTGAGTAGTGCTTTCTAATGCAACATGTTTATTTTGTCTGAAAAATAGAAATATGTCTTTTGCATCTGAAAAATATATACAGCCCATTTTGTATTATGTAAATGTAGCACTCAGATGTACATGTGTTTATACCCTCAACTTTATACTTTATCATCCATATAAATATCATATATACACTGATGTGTGGATATCATGCCACTCTGTTTTCTCAGAGTTAGAGAATACATTAGAAAATGTTTGTGTGTTGACAATTATTTTATTGGATAATTTCATTCACTCTTCTGAGTCAGAACCGGTTTTATTCACTTTCTCATTTTACCTTGAGTCAAATGAAAAATTCTGCTCATAGACTCTTTGTAAATATGTGTGTTTGTGTGTGTTTTCCAGGAACTGTTGACATTTAGGGATGTGGCCATAGAATTCTCTCTGGAGGAGTGGCAATGCCTGGACACTGCACAGCAGAATTTATATAGGAATGTGATGTTAGAGAACTACAGAAACCTGGTCTTCTTGGGTGAGCATCACTTCAATACACAATATAAACTAAAGGTTTCATTTCTAATATAAACTAAAGGTTTCATTTCTCTTCTGTAGAATGTTCTCTGGTTACTTACACTTTCAGATTTCTGTTTTTAAGAAAATCCTGGGGATTTGTCTGTTTAGATAAGAATTTCTTAAAGATGTTTCATCTTGACCTGAACTTTCCATATTTCTGAGCTAATTTGTGTCCTTCACTTTAGACTAGTGGTAATTTCAGAAGTTTAGTGGTATAAAATTTTTAGACCTTAAAATCTAATTGTCATCACCAATTTTTGATTCAATAGTACCAGGTGAAATTAAGAACCTACAAAATTAAAATATTTCTAAATATTTAAGCATTTCTGCTATAAATTAGTATATTGGGATAAATTTATTAGAATATTCTATTACATCCTCTTTACTGAGCACATTACTAAGTTGGTAATTGGAGAATATGAGCAAGATTCATGTTAGTTATTTTTAATAAAATAGGGATTGCTGCCTGTAAGCCAGACCTCATCACCTGTCTGGAGAAAGCAAAAGAGCCCTGGAAGATGAAGCGACATGCGATGGTGGATGAACCCCCAGGTAGGTGAGAGTGAACACCACAGACGACATGGATGACAGGTCCAAAGTCAAGGAGAAAGCAAATCTTTAAAGTGATTTGGGAAGCTGTGATCCAAAGGAAATAATTTCTTGGAAGCCTGAAATTATTTTTAAAATTATACTCTCACATAGGGGCATCTTCTGCTTATACTTATAAAATGTCTTAGAATTCTGTTTCTTCAGTGGTCTTCCTTCAAGTTTATAGTGACAACCAAAGTACTGTTCATGGTATATAAAAGAGTGCACAATCTGATGCCTTTTTTCTGTTTTTTTTTGTTTGTTTGTTTGTTTGTTTGTGGACAGATAGATATCCATGTAATTTTGGGATACTCTGTGTTAAACTTTTTTTTTTTGAGATGGAGTTTTACTCTTGTTGCCCAACCTGGAGTGCAATGGCACAATCTCGGGTCACTACAACCACTGCCTCCCAAGTTCAAGTGATTCTTCTGCCTCAGCCTTTTGAGTAGCTAGGGTTACAGGTGTGCACCACAATGCCCAGATAATTTTTTGTATTTTTAGTATAGATAGGGTTCTCCATGTTGGCTAGGCTGGTCTCAAACTCCTGACCTCAGGTGTGATTCGTCCACCTCGGCCTCCCAAACTGCTGGAATTAGAGGCATGAGCCACCGTGCCTGGCCTATTTTTTAAATTCTCTTTTTGCATCACATCTGAAATTCATGAGAATAGTGGTTTCTGTTCCATTGGTTTTTTTTGTTTGTTTATTTTTCTTCACATTTCATTCTGTTTTTATTACTATAGTCTTGAAATATAGTTTGAAATTATAAAGTATGATGTCTTTCTGCACTGTTCTTTTTTTTCAAGATTGCTTTGGCTACTCAAAGTTTATTGTAGTTTCATGTACATTTTAGAATTGTATTTTTCATTACTGTGGAAAAATACACTGAAATTTTGATAGGGAGTTTATTGAATCTAGAGATAAATTTAGATAATATGGCGGTTTCACAATACTTATTATTTCAATAGAAATAAAATATTTTAAAATTTATCTGCATCCTCTCTAGTTTTCTTCATTGACATATCTTTCACTTAAAAGGTTTATGAGCTCCTTGGTTTAATTTGTTCTAAAATTGATTATTTATTGCTATTGTAAATAAGATTTATTTTTCCTCTATTTTATAAGATAGTTTGTTTTCAGTGTATGGAATAATAACTTATTTTGCTAATTAACTGAGTGTATTCATTAGTTTAAACAGGTTTTAATATATGATTGATATATTAATATATATTAATTATATATATAATTATATAAAATTATGTAATTATATAATATAATTATATATAATTACATAATTTTATATAATTATATATATAATTAATATATATTAATATATCAATCATATATTAAAACCTGTTTAAACTAATGAATACATATATATATATATATATATGTATGATTACATGATCAACAAAGAGAAACTTCCGTTTTACTTATTGGTCTTCAATTTCAATGACCTAATTATTATTATTATTATTTTTACTATTTCTTCTTCACATACTTTCAGTGCTATGTTAAAATAGAATTATTGACAATAAGAAACAATAGTTTTGCATTGATGTCTGTAAATTTGAAGGAACAAACACTTCTTCAGATTTTTATAAACTAGTTTAAGAAAGTAAAGCCTATTTTGTTGGGCCCCCAGTGTGATAGAATGCTCTCTGGGTTTGTAGTGTAGCTTGATCTTAAAGCTGCTGAGTTTGCACGAGGGTCCACTTTTGGTTTAATTTTGGTACAGAGTGAGTATCCTTCAGGACTTTGCAGGGCAGACCCAAAGGCTGGTTTCTGTAGTCAGGTCTGCATATAGTGGGCTTTATATCAGGATGTGGATGAGGATGGGTTTTACTGAGTACAAGAGAGGATTTTTTCAGGTCACTTTGGGTTTTTACATAGGCAGAACTGGCCATCAGCTGTGGCTCAGGAAGCTGGAACTGCATCATGGAACTGCTTCAGAGAGCACAGTAAAGGCCAAGGTCTGCAGGGCTGCTAAATGGCTGTAAAGAAGAGTCTTTTTCCAGGCCTCTGGAAGGGCAGGACCTCCCTGAGACTGTGGCTGGAAAGAGTTTGGGATGGTTACAGAGTAAGTTTAAAATTCTCAGTGGAATCGAGTTAGGTTAAACATTTTCTTGTCTGTAGCCAAAAAGAGTAGTCCTGTAGTTTGCCACCTAAATGAGGGCCTGCCTTCTGAAAAGGATTACCTTTGATCTTGGGCCTTAGCAGAGTTTCACACCTCCCTTCCTGGATCTCAGAGCTCTCTTAAAGGCACTTGTTTTTGAGATGAGGTCTTGCTACATAACCCAGGCAAGTGTTAATATTTTGACCAGAAACAATTCTCCAACTTTAATGTACGATGTAGCTGTCATTACAGGTGTAAACCTGCTTCTTTCATAAAGGCATTTTTTTTGTCAGGAATGGCTTATAAATTTTCCTCCTGTCAGAGGATAAGCAAATAGGGCAACTTCTACTTTTTTATCTTATTAATGTTACTCTGCAAATGTTTACTTTCTATTTTCTACTTCAAATTTGTCTGTAATTTTAGATTCAGAAATCAAGGGCAGTATACTAGAATTTAAATTTTGGGCCTGAATTAAATTAGATAATTAGCATGCAGGCAGGCAAAAAGGAATTACAGAATTTTAAACAGCTTTTGTCAGCCTATATATAAAAAACAACATAATTTACTCCCGAAATATTTGTTTTCTTTGTAAAGCTCTTACCATATTCTGCAAAATATGTATATAATTTAGTAATGTAAGGCTATTCTTTGCTTCTAAACTGATCACAGTAGTTTTATTTTGTGTAAAAATAGCATATATTTAAAACATAAAAATTGACATGTTTCTTTTAAATGCTTATCCATTAAAAGTTTCTCATTAGCATCACCTATTTATGATTGTACTGCATTTTCCCTGAAATTTTATTCCCATACAGTATATGCCAGTACTTTAAAATGCCTGCCTTCCATAAACGCACAGTTACAGTCAAACTTTGCAGTTACCTAGACAAATTATTTTTATTTATTTATTTATTTTGAGTTGGAGTTGCCCAGGCTGGAGTGCAATGCCGAGATCTAGGCTGACCACAACTTCTGCCTCCTGAGTAGCTGGAATTACAGGCATGCATCACCACACCTGGCTAATTTTGTATTTTTACTGGAGATGGGTTTTCTCCATGTTGGTCGAGCTGGTGTCAAACTCCCAACCTCAGGTGATCCACCCACCTTGGCCTCCCAAAGTGCTGGGATTACAGGCATGAGCCACTGTGCCAGGTCTGTTTGTTAATGTACATTAATGTTGCCAACTAGATTTTATGAGTAAACATTTCTGTTATTAATTGTCTTGCAGTTCTATATTAGTGTGTTTTTTTAGTGTAGGTTTCTTAACATAAGTTGATTGTGTCTATTGGTTTTACTTTTGTATTATAATTTTAGACAATTTGCAATTGTTTGTATACTTTAAGTTAATGTGGGGTTTAACTAAAAGGTAAATGAGCCATATGTCTATCACAGTCACATTATATATATGTGTGTGTTTATATCTACAGATATGACTCCAATTTTGGTTATACCTTATCTTGTATATATTTTTTCTTAGCTCATTTTCATTGTTTTCTTGTTGAGATGGAGTTTTGCTCTCGTTGCTGAGGCTGGAGTGCAATGCGCACACTCTTGGCTCACTGCAGCCTCCACCTCCTGCGTTCAAGTGATTGCCTTGCCTCAGCCTCTCAAGTAGTTGGGATTACAGGAATGTGTCACCACGCCTGGCTAATTTTTTATTTTTATTTTTAGTAGAGATGGGGTTGCTCCATGTTGATCAGGCTGCTCTCAGACTCCTGACCTCAGGTGTTCTGCCCACCTCTGTCTCCTAAAGTGCTGGGATTACAGGCATGAGCCACCTTGCCCGGTTTCTTAGCTCATTTTTAGTGTTGGTTTTATCTTGTCTAAGTGAGTAGCCTTGGAAATAGTCTTATTTTCACCATGTGTTTAATGATGAATATGTACTTCCTTTGTGTGCGAAAAATAAATATTCATCATTATCTTTTGTAATTTAAAGATAATTTTTAAAAAGATATATAATTCTGTATTTTTTCCAGTTTTTTAAAAAAATAATTGTTGTAAAAATACATAA